ATTTTGCCACATCCCCTCCAACATTTGTCATTTTCCTTTTCTGTCTTATTAGCCAGTCTGATAGGTGTGTGAGGGTAGCTGAGTTCTAGTTTGCTTTTCCCTAATCAATAATGATTTAGAGCATTTTCCCAGATAACTTAGATAGTTTAGTTTTGATTGCTTTGTCTGAAAACTGTCTGTTCATATCCTTTAACCATTTATCAATTGAGGAATGGCACTTAGTTCTATAAATTTGACTCAGTTTTCTATATGTTTGAGAAGTGAGGTCTTTACCAGAGCAACTTCCTGTAACAAGTTTTTGCTCAGTAATGATTACCCCACTATGTATTTCCCTCCATCCTATTTTCCCCATGTATCTTACTATCTATCTCTCTCCTTTCACTGTCCATTCTCTCTTTTGCTTCTGACATTCTCCTCTCCCAAACTGCCCTCCCTTCTGTCAGCTCCCCCACTCCCTTTTCTTATCCCCTTCCCTTCCTGCTTGCCTGTATGATAAGAGATTTCTGAGGCAGAGCCAAGATGGTAGAGTAAAAGCAGTGACTTGCTTGAGCTCTCCCTCAAACCTCTTCAAATGCCTGTAAAAATTACTCTAAACAAATTATAGAGCAGTAGAACCCACAAAAAGACAGTGAAACAAATTTCCAGCCCAAGACAACCTAGATGGTTGATAGGAAAAGTGTTGTGTCAGGCTGGGAGAGGAGCACAGTTCGGTGTGGGCCACACAGGCAAAGACAGAGCAAGCCTCAGGAGACTGAATCACAGGGAGCTGTGGCGGTTTCCAGACTTCTCAACCCGTAAACGCCAAAGACAGCTTAGAAGGTCAGTGGGAAAGGTCTGTTGGACCTGGGTGAGAGAGAAGTGTGGTCCAGTCCTGATCCTAGTTCAGCCCCATACACAGCCCCAGCGTGGTGGCCACAGTGGCGGTGGCTGCTTCTGGAGATCTCGGCCCACGGATGGTGTGGGGATCAAGTGGCTGATCAGAGGGGGATTGCAGGGATCCCTTTGCTGGTGCTGAGGCAGGAATCTCTTGCTCTGCCTGTGCTTGTATCTGGCTCACAGTTCTGGGTGGCAGACCTGGGGCAAGGAGGAGCGCTGCCGAGGTGGAGCTTGTGGCATGGTGGAGAGGGAATCCTCCTTACAAGGAGTATTTTCTGCCTCCAAGGCAGAAAACAGTGCTTGTGGTCACTCATAGAACAGAGCCTAGACAGGAGTAAAGGAGTAAACACCTCTCCTTTGATCATACCACCTTGGAAAAACTAAAAATTTACAGGTCCCTAGAAATATCTCTGAAAACAGCTGTACAAAACCCCTCTAACTTGGGACAGTAAGTTCTCCACACTGGAAGCAGATCCCTACCTTAACAAAGAGTTAAAAAATCAAGTAATTGGCTGGGAACATGAGCAAAGAGAGGGAAAAAACTCGGACTATAGAATCTTACTTTGGTGACAAAGAAGATCAAAACATACAACCAGAAGAAGACAACAAAGTCAAAGCTACTACATCCAAAGCCTCTAATAAAAATATAATAAAAATAATTATAAAATATAAAAATAATTAGGGGAGGAGATAATCAGAAGCAAACACTTTTGAGGAGGGACAAGGTCACAGGAGAAAATAGAATAAATGGGGGTCAGGTTAGGATGGAGGGAAATATAATTAGCCATACTATTATGGAAGTATTTTGCATGACTACTCATGTATAACCTATATTGAATTGCTTGCTTTCTCAATGAGGGTAGATGGGGAGGGTGGAAGAGAGAGAATTTAATGGAACTCAAATTTTAAAAAATGAATGTTAAAAATTGTTTTACATGGAACTAGGAAATAAGATACACAGGAAAAGAGACATAGAAATCTATCCTGCTCTACAGGAAAATAGAAGGGGAAGGGGATAAGAGAAGGGGGAGTGATAGAAGGGAGGGAAGATTGGGGAAGGGGTATTCAGAATGCACTCTGTCTTGGAGTGGGAGGAGGGGAGAGATAGGGAGAAATTTTGGAACTCAAAATCTTGTGAAAGTGAATGTTGAAAACTAAAAATACATAAATTAGTAGGAAAAAAATCCAGATTTCTGCCCAACTAAATATTTCTAGTATTCCCTTTTTGAGCCATTCTGATTAGAGTAAAGTTCATGTGCTCCCATCCTCCTTACCCCATTTCCCCTCCACTATAAAATCTCTTCCAGGCCTCTTTTGTGCCAGATAATTTACCCTGTTCTACCTCTCCTTTCCCCCTTCTCCCAGCGTACTTCTTTCTCACCCCCTAATTTTTAATTTTTTTAGAGAATTATCCCATGATAATTGAACTCACACCCATGCCCTCTGTGTATATTCTCCTCCTTGCTGCCCTAGTAATGAGAAAATTTTTAGGAGTTAGAAGTCTCATTTTCCCATGAAGTAATGTAATGGTTTAACCTTACTGAATCCCTCATGATTTTTCTTTCCTGTTTACCTTTGTATGCTTCTTTTGAGTCTTGTACTTGAAAGTCAAAGTTCCTGTTCAGCTCTGGTCTTTTCATCAGGAATACTTGAAAGTCCTCTATTTCATTGAATATCCATTTTCCCCCTGAATACTCCATTTTGCTGTGTGTAGGTGATTCTTGATTGTAATCCTAGCACTTTTGCTCGCTGGAATGTCATATCCGAAGCCCTCTGATTCTTTAATATAACAACTGGTAAATCTTGTGTTATTCTGGCTGTGGCTCCATGGTATTTGGATTGTTTCTTTTTTGGCTCCTTACAATATATTCTTCTTGACCTGGGAGCTCTGGAATTTGGCTATAATATTCTTGGGAGTTTGTTTTGGTATTTGTTTTAGGAGGTGATTGGTGGATTCTTTCTATTTCTGTTTTACCCTATGGTTCTAGAATATCAGAACAGTTTTTTCCTTAATTTCTTGAAAGATGATGTTGAGGTTCTTTTTTTGATCATGGTTTTCAGGTAGTCCACTAATTCTTAAGTTACCTCTCCTGGATCTGTTTTCCGGGTCAGTTTTTCCAATGAGATAATTCATTTTTTTTTTTTATGTTTTTTCATTTTTTAAAATTTTGTCTTATTGTTTATTGTTCTCATTTTAGGAATTATTTTCTTCAGTGAGCTTTTGTGCCACCTTTTCCATTTGGCCAATTTTGCTTTTCAAGGCATTCTTTTTCTTCATTGGATTTTTGTGCCTTTTTTTTTCTAGCATTTGGCCTATTCTGTTTTTCAGGTGGTGTTTTCTTGAATCTTTTTTGTACCAAGCTGTTGACTCTTTTTTTCTTGATTTTCTTGCATCCCTTTTGTTTCTTTTCCCAATTTTTCCTTTACTTCTCTTACTTGATTTTTCGAATCCTTTTTGAGCTCATCCATGGCCTGAGACCAATTCATATTTTTCTTTAAGGCTTTGGATGTAGGAATTTTGACTTTGTTATCTTCTTCTGAGTTTGTCTTTTGATTTTCCTTGTCACTATAGTAACTCCATAGTCAGAATTTTTTTCAGTTGTTTGTGATTTTTCCAGTCTACTTCTTGACTTTTAACTCTGTGCTAAAGTGAGGCTCTGCTTCCAGGGTGGAAGGCACACTGTCCCAATCTTTACCTTTTTTGTGCAGCTGTTTTCTGAGGTTGGGGGACCTGTAAGTTTTTAGTTCTTCCAAGGTAGTACAATTCCAAGGAGGAGGTGTGTTTACTATTCTCCTGTGCTGTGCACTGGTCTGTGAGCAACCACAAGCACTCTTTTCTGCTTGAGACCTATGAGGAGGATTCCCATTTCACTGCAGCTGTAAGCTCTGGTGACCTAGTCCGCCTCCTCACCCTGGGACTGAGACCCAGATCCAAGTATGGGCAGTGTAGCAGTCCTGCCTCTCGTGTCAGCATAGAGACCCTTGATTCTCCTGACCATTTTTCTGACCCCTTCACTGATTTCAGTCACCCCTGAGGCCTGCTCCTGTTTTGCTGGGCCCAGTCTGTGCTGGCAGGATCTGTTCTAGACTGTACTCCTCTCTTACCCTGGTGAAATAGACCTTTCCTGCTGACTCTCTAAGTTGTCTTGGGCTGGAAAATTGTTTCACTCCATCATTTTGTGGGTTCTGCTGCTCTAAAATTTGTTTTGAGACATTATTTAAAGATATTTGGAGAGAAGGGGGAGAGCTCAGGTGAGTCCCTGTCTTTTCTCCATCATCTTGGCTTCACCTCATTTAAAAAACTTTTGATAGAATGTTTCAATGTGCTTGAAAATGTTTACTGGGGGAAAAGGGATGATCCCTTTAGACATCCCTTAGATGCTTGGAGTAGACTATGGAAGCCTGCTGGAGGAAACAAACTGCAAGTAAAATATAGGGCAACCGTCTGGAGAGAAGGGTAATGGTTATTCTGCTGTTAGTAAAGGACTCTGAAACTCCCTTCTGTTAGGAAAAAGACAGTCCTGGGGCTGTTCTGCCTTGTTAGTTGCCAAGTGAGTTTTGTTCCCTTTCTTCTTTGCCACCAAGTAAGGGAAATGGTTAAGTTGTAAAAAGGAGAGGGCTCTCGGATTGTTTAACTGGGAGGGCAAAAAAGGCCAAGTTAGTTTTCTCTCTGGTGAAGTTGTAAATAGCTAGTTTTCTCCTCTTTTATAACAAAAGGTGTTTTTAGCTGGCCTGTGTATAGCAAGCTGCCAGAGAACATCTTAGGATCCAGGCGATATAGCCCTAATGGGATTGATTGGGCTACATTCACATGGGCCATGAAAAAGGTTTGAGGTCAGTATACTTACGGCTTGCCAAGACATTTTTCCTTGTACCTCACTGGCCTTGATATCACTGTCATGATTCCATTAGATTGTGGCAAAGGTATAGTACAAACAGCCAGAATTTCATGTTGAACAATTGTGAATCACCTGCAGCTTGGCCCATTGAAATCATGAGCCCTGATTGAGACTGAGTCTTCAAGCCTGGGGATTGATAAGGGCTATAGAGCAACTATTGTTCAGTGCTTCTAAGCTCCCAGATCAGAGGTTTGCATCAGTGACTCAGATATGAGGTCCTCTTAAGAAGGGCCTCATTGAACCAGGAAAGGTCAAGGGAGGAGTAGGAGGGGATAAAGAAAAGGTCATAGGATGGTGACTATGGAGCCATACTATTGGTTCTTCATGAAGCCTACTCAGCTTATTGATGCCAACCAAAGAACAGCAAATAATCAATAGTTAAGTGCCTACCATGTGCTGGGCACTGTGCTAAGTGCTGGGGAAATTAAAAAAGGGCAAAAGGCAGTCCCTGACATGAAGGAGCTCATTCTGAAGGAAAAAACAAGCAAATATGTGCAAATGAGCTATATAGAAGATAAATAGGAACTCGTTCATAGAGGGAAGATGCTGGAATTAAGAGAAATTTAAAAAGGCTTCCTGTAGAAGGGATATTAGCTGGGACCTTAAGGAAACCTTTAAGGAAGTTGTCAGTAGGTGGAGTAGAAGAGAGAATGTTTCAGGAATGGAGGCAGCCAGAGAAAATGCTCTCATAAATCACTTCCATTTCACAGTGGAACTAACTGTTAATGGTTGGCTTACCTTCTGGGAAGGCCCTGAGAGATGGGTATCCTACAGCCATCTCACCTGATGATCATGGGAATTGGCTTGTGTTTGAGGCTATGATAGATACAAAGACTAATTAACAGCCATGAATGCTCTGCTTCAATAGGAGAGGGACCTCATAACCACAATGCAGGTGGGTGCCATTCCTAGCAGCAAGCCCTCCCAACACTGAACACCCAGGACCCGAGGTTTGGGGTAGAAGTTGAGGGTTCAGAGTCCAGGTGGCTAGGCAGACTTCACAGCTGCTGGAGCAGTCTGTTGACTGAGCCTTTCCTCAAAAGTAGCTTGTGTCCACTGACCAGTGAATGGACTAGCAGAATCCCTAGATTGGCAATATGCTATGACTAACGCCTTGCTGGTTTGCCAAGCCTTTGGCTTCCTGTTTGATGATGGGAAGGGAGATACCAAGCATTATAACTTTCACTTTCCCAAGTAAGCATTTCCTTTTGTGGTCATGAAGACTGTCTGTTGGTTGGAGTGATACATCTGATCTTCCTGAAGCACTTGAAGACTCTAGATGTCCATTTCCCCCCAGTATTCCCTGTGTCTGGATAAATATCCCCAGTTTCTATACCTGATACTTATGTGGCAAGGACTCGAGGCCTTTCACCCTCCTGGTTGGAGATTTCACAAATTAATAAGATAAGGAAGGCATGGAGAAATGAATCTCTCATGGGGCCTTAACCCAAAGGGACAGAGCCAGGAGCATGAGGAAAGGCCACAACTGGTGGCCAAAGGACATATCTTGGGATAGAGAGGAAGAACGAGGGGTCCTCCCAATGACATTTATCTTTAGTGGGCCCAAGAGAAGTCTGATTGTAATCCCCTTGGTTAGCAAATCATTTCCTGAGGGTCCCAAAGGTCTTGGATTTTCTAGGGGGTAGCAACTAACCTGAAGTGCCTGGAGAGCTAAAACCAGGTGATAAGACAAATCAGAGAGACTAGATTGGAAACAGCTAATCTAAGAGGCTGTGCCTCCAGGGCAGGGTGGAGGTGGCAAAGATGGTTGTGACTATGTGCCAACCAGAGGACATTCTGGTCCTTCCCTAGGCACCCAGAGGAGGTAACTACCTTCACCCTTCCTGGCCTTACCCAGTGGTACTGAAAGGAGTGGCTGGCAGGAGACGGTGTCCTTTGTACACATGGAGAAGGGGGTAATTTTTCTTGCTAATCTCTTTATTCACTGTGCTCTTTGATTCACTATTTTGAACATTGAATTAATATGCTTTCTGGTAAAACCAAAAGCACTGGGGTTCATTGTGAGAACCCACATGGTGAACACCTTTGCCTGGGGGTCCCTCGAAAGGGAGTGTCCCGGGCTCAGTTTGTTGGTGTGCCCTGTTCTCTCACTGTGTGAGCTCCCTGAGGATAAATGGTTGGTTTTGTGGTTTTGCATCCACAAGACCTGGTACCCAAGTTCCTTGGCACTGAGAGGTTTATGTTTGTTTCCTTTAAATGAAATGTCGCCTTAGAAAAGGAAGGGACAACAATGATCTCCAGCCCCCAGAGCCATGGAACTCCCCATGGGATTTCAGATCCTTTCCAGTCTCAGACACATCAGAATATAGGCTTTAGGATGGAGGAGGTGGAGCCTTGGAACCACCTTTCAGATGTATGGACGGATAGAAGGATGGCGAGATGCTTTCTTACGGAATGCAGTGCTCTTGGTACTGGGGCTAATCCCCTTTAGTTTTCCCAGGATGATGATTTCCTCCCTTGGTCTCTTGTTGAAGCCTTGGGATTTCGTCTTCATAGAACATTTCCTAAGGTGTCAGCATTTCATGATAACTGTATCTATTCATATAACCTTTCTCAATACCTTTGCATTTTTGTTACAGAGCTCAAACCAGAGTTTCCATTCAAGCATCAAGTGAGGGTTGTAGTTTACATCTAAATTCCTTGGGGGAAAGAAGATTTCTACTGCCTTGGGTGGGGGGCTTGGGAGGGGGGGAGTCAAGGGAACTGTAAGAGAACAAAAGAGCCTAATTGCTCTTATTAATTGGGCCAAAGGACAGATGCTGACTCCTTGGCTCTAGTTTGTGGCCACAAGATTGCTCTTTATGAACCCATAGAGGAAGCTCCAAAGGAAGCTAAAGGGACCTAGGAGGATTGTAGGGATTTGAATAAAAAACAAGGACTGGTATCAGTTGGCTTTGCTCTTTGTGCTTTCTGGTTAACGATTCAGCTTTTTTGTGTGTCTCTGAATTCTAGACTGAAACCCTTCCCTGAAAGCACCTGACACATCTAGAGAGTATAGCCCATGAGATTAGAAGGTCTGCTGTCCTGGAAATTGCCATTTTCACCCCAAATTGGGTGAAAAGAAGGAAGAGATAATAGGGTTTCTCTCTCTCCATGTTTATCCTTGGCCCATTCCCACTCTGAATTCTGGGTGAGTTTAACTTGAAAATTGGGTTTGGAATTTTTAGTAAGAAACTAAATATTAAACCAATAATCTTACTTTTTTTTGCTCACTAATTCCAAGCCCTTATATAGGATTATATTTCTACCATTATCTAATCTGATTTCTGATGCTAGGTTTCTGCTAAAACTACACACTGTCTTATCATAACAGTTGCTAGCACTAGTATAGCAAAACACTGTAAACATCTCTTTTGATTCTCATAACCATTCTAATAGGTTCTATTTTTATTCTTGTTTTACAGATGAGGAAACTGAGGCAGAGGTTATTATTTTCCCATGGTCACACTGTCTGAGTGAGGATTTGAACTCAGATTTTCCTGACTCCCAATTCCAAGACTCTAGGCACTGAGCCATGTAGTTTTCCTCACTGAAGCCTTTACATTGGGGGTTCTTAACCTGTCAGTGGATAGATGTCAAATAATCCTGAATGTGGATGGGAAAAAAATTATCTTTGTTTCAACATGATTTGTTTACTTTTGCAATCCTATATCTTTTGTGCATTTAAAATATTATTCTGAGAAGGGGTCCACAGGCATAATCAAGATGGCCAAATCAAAGACAAGACCCTGAGACTGAATTCTGGATCAGACAAGAGGGCCAGGCTGCCCCACAGGATTATTGAGGAAACCCAGCAAATGCTGGAAGATACATTTTTTGGGATAAAAGCAGAAACAGATGGAAGCAATGCATGCTATTTTTGTGTGGTTCCCCTCCATAGGATTCCCCCTCGGAGGGAGGGATTTTTAACTTGGAGCTATTTCTTTCAGAAGAATATCCAATGGCAGTTCCTCAAATGAATGTTCCTCCAGCACTGCAGATCCGCACAGTGCTACTCCCAATCTAAATCCTCCATTAACAAATGATGCGCCTTACTGGTGGAAGAGCAATGAAGCCCAAGCCATAGAAACAGCCGGAGCAGGGACTAGGCTAGATGCCATGAATAATATTTAAATTCAATCTCAACCTCAAGTGTATATCACTTCTCCTGTTGTGCCCTTCTTGTTTGCATTTAATGGGCACAGTCTTAGAAACACTACAGAATAAAAACCTAGACCATTCAGTCCTTTGGTGATTAAATGCACATTAGTGAATTTCTGTCTTGTATTGATTCATGGTTGTAATGCATGAGCAGAAGCTAGAAGTATCATTTGGACTGTTTTGAAATTGTTTAAAAGCAGTGACCCAGCTCTGCTTTTATTCATTTTTTTCCTTCATAGTATCCACACTGTTAATGGAAAGTACAGTTATCCCTTCCACTTTGTGACTTTCTCCATCGCAGTTTCACTGTATTGTGGGAATTAAATGGGAATTTTTTGAGAGTTTTGCAACAGATGACACGTGAAGACCAGCAGATGACACATAACGTATGAACAAATAATTAACCCAAATTTTACAATAAGGTATTGACACCCTATAAAAGAAAAAGGAAAAAAATCAGATTTCTTCTCTTGTATGAAGGGAGGGCTAAAAGTTTTTACATGGATTTTCCAGATCTTGGGGATGCCACACCCCTAACCCTCATGATGTAGAAGGGATAACTATAGCAGTAGGTTAGCTGCAGGGGTGTGTCTTTTTTTTCTTCAGTTTTGTGGGTTCTTTTTCCATTCTGGGAGTGAGGCTAATTCCATTGGTTAAAGCAGCTAACAAGTTGTACTCTAGCCAAGTCTAACTCCTTAGACTCTGTAGATGGACAAACTTGGTTGTTTAAACAAAAATGGGAACATTAAACATCACAGCCCTCATTAATATTGTGATTTTGCTCTCAAGTGTAGAAACCTCCCTTCAAGAAAAGTTTGTGACCATTTTGTGTGGCTTGTCTGGAATTTTGTTTCAGTAAAATGTCATTTGTAATTCTAAAAAAATTGCCAAAGGGATCCATGACACAAAAGTTACTGGTAGGCTGTCTAGTCTGGTTTCCTTAGTATAGGAGTCCCTTCTATGAGTTAGTAGCAGGTGAGGTTACATGGCCACATAGGTATTGCCTCAATAGATAAAACTTAGGATGGGGAGGGCACTTTTGTAGCTGTCCCCACTTTCTACCTTTATGATCATTCCACACCAATCTTAGTTGTCCATCAATAGCACATATTTTATTTTAGATGGACTGTTTGTGTAACATTTAGGCAGTCTGTTTACATAACTATCAAAAAAATGTTTTCCCCAACTGATAAATGGTGAAAGGATATGAACAGGAAGTTTTCAGATGAAGAAATTAAGGCTATCTATAGTCACATGAAAAAATGCTCTAAATCACTACTGATTAGAGAAATGCAAATCAAAACTACTCTTATGTACCATATCACACCTATCAGATTGACTAACATGACAAAACAGGAAAATGATAAATACTGGAGAAAATGTGGAAAAATTGGAACACTAATGCATTGTTGGTGGAGTTGTGAACAGATACAACCCTTCTGGAGAGCAGTTTGGAACTATGCCCAAAGGGCTATAAAATTGTGCATACCCTTTGACTCAGCAATAGCACTTCTAGGGCTATATCTCAGAGAGATCATACAAATGGGAAAAGGACCCACATGTACAAAAATATTTAGAGCAGATCTTCTTGTGGTAGCAAAGAATTGGAAATTGAGGGGATGCAGAATGGCTGAACAAGTTATGGTCTATGAATATAATGGAATACTATGGTTCCATAAGAAATGATGAGCAAGTGGATTTCAGAAAAACCTGGAAGGACTTGCATGAACTGATGCTGAGTGAAGTGAGCAGAACCAGGAGAGCATTATACACAGTAACAGCCACACTGTGCGATGCCTTAGCTCTTCTCAGCAATGCAGTGATCTAAGACAATTCCCAATGACTCACAGTAACTGTGGAGTCTGAATGCAGATGGAAGCGTACTATTTGTTGTCTCTTCTCTTTTTTCTTTTGTTTACTTTCTCGTGATTCTTCCCGTTCGTTCTAATTCTTCCTTGCATCATGATTAACGTGAAAATGTTTAATAAGAATGTATATAGAGAGCCTGTATCAGATGGCACATTGCCTTGGGGAGGGGGGAGGGAAGGGAGGTGGAGAAAATTTAAAACTCAAAAGCTTATGGAAGTGAATGTTGAAAATTAAAAATGAGGCAGCTAGGTGGTACAGTGGATTAAGCACTGGCCTTGGAGTCAAGAGGACTTGAGTTGACATCTGGCCTCAGACACTTGACACCTACTAGCTGTGGGACCTTGGGCAAGTCACTTAACCCCATTGCCTAGCTAAAATAAATAAATAAAAAACAAAAACGAAAAAGAAAACTAAAAATATGTTACTTTAAAAATTAGAAAAATTAATTTGGAAAATACCCAACATAGTATAGTCTATGTTAGGATGAAGTCCAAAACAAGTTTAACAATGAGCCATCCCCTGGAAGCCAGTAGTGGGGTAAATTAAGCAACAAGACTTAAAACTGCTTTGGGCTCTCAGGTACACCCTGAGAGGGATCTGCTAAGATGCGCAGCCCAGGCCTCACCAGCTTCATGTTCCAGTGTTCCCTCCCCACAGACAGGAAGACTGTGTGACAGTGTATAGACCGGGGTGGGGGGTGGGAGTGGGGAGGGTGGGTGAAGGACAGACATGCCACCTATGCGTAAATATCCTGGCTAAACCCTGCCTCTTAAAAGTGGAATGGGAGAATGGTGCCACCAGGAGAACAGCAAAGGGTTTGGAGTCAGGACCCAAGTTCAAATCCCAGATATGCTCTTCAATACCTTTTGGATGTTGGAGTGGGACTTGGGATGAGAGGAGGCAAACCTCCATACCTACTCCAGAAAAAACCCCAAAGTTTACACAAGGCCAAACAATGAAGATATCCAATAAGAAAACATAGCAAGTGTTTTGTCCCACCCATAACGCCACCAAAAGTCAGTAAGAAGCCTCAGGGCAATAAGACAGGGGGCCGGCCACCAGCAGCATGAGCAGAAGGCTGCCCAGAGAAAGCCTGGGCAACATGGAGACAGAAAGAATCCACTGATCACTTCTATCTGTAGAAGGACAAGTCCTGGGAATGCCACAGCCCAAATCCAGTTTTCTGGCATCAGAGAAAAAATATTGCAAGTATCTAGAAAGAAACCTTTCCACTATCCAAGATAAACAGTCACAATTGCACCAGTGTGGGCAACCAGGTAACACCATAGTGCACAAAGCGCTAGGACTGGAGTCAGAAAGACCTGAGTTCAAATCCAGCAGTAGACACTCACTAGCTGTATGACCCTAGGAAAGCCACTTAACCTCTTTCTATTTACCCATCTGTTAAAAGGAGATAATAGGGGCAGCTAGGTGGTGCAGCAGATAGAGCTCCAGCCTTGGAGTCAGAAGGACCTGAGTTCCATTCCGATCTCAGACACTTGACACTTACTAGCTAGGTGACCCTGGGCAAGTCACTTAACCCCAATTGCCTCACCCCAAAAAAATAGAATAGAATAAAAGGGGATAATAGCAGCACCCACTTCCCAGAGTTGTTGTGAGGATCAAATAAAATAATACTTGTTGAGTGCTTAGCATGGTGCCTGGTGTCTAGTAGATGCTTAATAAATGTTTGTTTCCTTCCTACTGAAAACAAAAGGAATTCTTGGAATTCAATATTCTCAGAGGCAAGAGATAGGCTAACAGCCAAGAATAACAGCATGCAAAGCTAAGCATAACCCTGCAAGGAAAAAATGATCTTTGCATGAACTAAAGGACTTTTAGGTATTTCTGATGAAAAGTCCTGAACTGAGTCGGAACTTTGAAATACAAATATGAGAGACAAGAGAAAGCTAGAAAGGTAAATTTATTTGAGGAATTTGAAAGGAGCCATATGATGATGTAGTGCTAACATTCTAACTGGGAGAAGAAATGTGTTCCTTCAGAATCTTCATGTCTTCTGTGAGGTCACTGAGGGAGATAAGAAGAAAAACTAGATCTCCCAGAACATAGGTTAGTTGTTCTGAGGTTTGAAAAGGAGAAATGGGAAGAAGGGTAGGAGGAGCACACCAGTGTAGAAAAAATGAGAAGGGAACAGATGCTGTTATTTCCCCATTGGGGTACATGAGAATACAAACAAGGAGGAAGGGTTGGGGGGAGTGGGTATTAAATGGATCTCACAGAGACGGTTAAACACACCAATAGTTGGGTGTCAAAAGAGGTCACACTCGAAAGTGGAGTAAATCAGGGGAAAAATTCACTTACTGATCCTGAAGGAGAGATTAAAAAGGGAAAAGAAGAAAAACAAAACTACAGTGTAAGGAAGTGCTTTGGGCTGCCTCTTAGACTATTGGGAAATGGCTGAACAAATGGTATAT